GGAGCCATGCTAACAAGCACACCAAAAACCTTCCAAAACGCCACGAAACACACCACAAGCCTCACCGAACATCTCCTTGCTACAGTGATCTCGCTCACAGGAAGCCACGACCGCGTGTCAGCAGGGAAAATGGCCGCGTATCCTGTTCGTACCTCGAGGCGGAGTTCGCAAACCGAAGCAAAATTGTGCAGCCGGAGCTGGTCGTAACCCGAAAAGTTCGTTAACAGAAGCGTTTGTAACCCAAGGTTCCACTGTACTTCCTTAAAGATATGTTCCATTCTGCAGTACAGTCATAAGAACTTATACTGAAATCAATGGGATTTCTAGTTTAAAGTCAAAGTAAATATCAGCCACCAATTCTGAACTTATCCCAAAGAAAAAGGATATTCCAGCTATGAGGCACATACTCCATTTCTGGTACTGGCCAGACAGCCACTTCTAAGAAATTCACAAGAAGAGGAGGAAACAACATGCATCAACTTCTCTAGTGCTCTAGTATTGGTATTATATTGGGTTTGAACAAAGAACAAATATTCTGGAGTTCAGAACATTTGTTAAGAAGGATTATCCAAGTAGTTTGTATTTCAGTGAAAAAGCACAGGCTTTACACACATACAAGTACAGTGTAAAATTCCAGCTCCTTTAATGAGAGCAGCTTTTACAACCTGTTACCCAAAGATTTGTTGGGACTTCAACTCACAGGATTTCTCACAATTTCAACACATCTGGAAGCCACCAGGCTGGGGAAAGCTAACACAGGGATTTTTGACGAAGACCAACCCTGCCCAATACTATATGGCACTGTCCTGATTCAGTACAAAGCAGCTTCACATGTACAATGGCAGCTCAGAATCTCAGTGGACAAAATGAAAATGCCAACTACAGACCAGGTTGTCACTCCAAATGGTTTACCATAAACTAGTACTCAGTTAAAAATAGGTAGTCCTTGCTTTAACAACTGTAACTGGGCTCAGGAACTCTGTTGCTAAAAGACATGATCGTAAAGCAAAAACATCATGTGACCACACCGACTAACAATGGCAGTTCTGGTTGTGGTTGTTAAGCAAATCCTGTGTGGTCATTAAGCATGACATCATGTGATTGCGACTTGCAACTTGCTGCCAGCTTCTCCACTGACTTGGCTTGTCAGAAGCCAGCAGTGAAGGTTGCAATGGTGATCACATGACCATGGGATGCTGTGACGGCCACAACTTCGAGGACCAGCTGTAAGTCTCCTTGTTCAGTGCCGTTGTAACTTCAAATGGTTGCTGAACAAGTAGTCACTAACCAAGGTCTATCTATATTAAGGAAAACCCATCAGATAATTCAACAAGGAAGATCTCTAACTGAAAAGGGCAATTCAAGTTGGCTCAACTCACCTGTGTATGCTCCAAAAAGAAATCAGCATCACTTCTTTCCAGAGAGTGGCCTGGAATTCCACTCAGGCCATCAATCAGGAGCTAAAAAAGGAGAGGATAATTTACCTTGTAATTTTCCATTGTTCCCAAGAGTGTACAGACTCATTGGTACTTACATCATTTCCATATTTGGCCATGGCAGCACTTGCCAGCTGCTGGATCTTCTCTCGGTACATGTGAGCAGCACGGCTATTATACTTGGCGCTGGCATCTGAGGTGATACAGCCATGCTGGCAGAAAAAGGCTGTCTGAAAAGAGAGAAAATATAGTTGATTTCCAGGATCAAAAAGGAAGAACAAACTGAAAACTAGACAACATTTCCAGATACAGATATGTAGTGACTGAGCTTCCACCTGGTACTAGATGATCCAGAAGCATAGAAAAAATTCACCTCGTAACTTTTTAAAATAACTTAATAACTATTCACCAACCCACTTCCCCAATCATAGCATTCTCCAAAAAAAGGACAATTTTAAAAAATCAAGTGCCCATTTAAATCACCAAAGAATATCATTTCAACTGGCACTTACCGCATTGGCATTGCTACCCACTTGCATACACCTCAACTGAAACCAGCTCCAGTTGGAATCAAGCTCTGTAGACCTGCAAGGGGACAAACTGGCATTATATTGTACCCAAATTCAATTCTATTTGGTATTTCAATACCAAATAGATATCAACTATTTCTAAAAGCCAAAATGTCCTTCTGTTACAATAAAATCTGTTGTCATGCCCAAAAACATTAATTTCATTTCTCCTAGCATGATACTTACATTTACCATATGACGCAGCAGATAGTAAAGGCTACCACATTCCAAGCTTTTAATAAATTTGAAGGAGCATAAAGATCATCTTGTTATACAGCTTTCCCCAAATTGTGTCCTCCAGAACTGCTGGCACTAGAGCTCTGTGACTACTATTACAGGCACTCCCAGGTTCCGCTTATGGTCACTCATTCACACACTCACACCCTGTTGAGGCACATGGATCTTGTAAGCCCCCCTTGCTTTCTACCTGGGTTTTCCAGACAGGTGTGGCTAGAACAGACAAGACACACAGCCCTGGGCAAAAGGTGGGAAGGAATTAGGAACATTCACAAATCACTTTTGACCAAACACTGAGGCACAACAGGTTCTTTGGAATACACAGAGAACCAGTGAATTTAAGTAACAGCAAAACTTTACTGGTTACAATGTACATTTGCTCTTTCTCACACACGCACGCACACTCACCCACCCTTACCCACATCCTTCTCTATTAGGCTGCCAGGCACTAGCAAGAGGGACAGAAGCCCCCAAGTCTGGATCCAAAGACTCAAGGAATGGGTGGGCTTCAGGACCCCTTTTATCCCCAAGAGTCCTTGCTTTGTTGATTCACAAGACTGGCAGCTACTCTTGCCTTGTTAATTTACAAATCTGGTAGCTGTTGGGATTGCGGGGAGGTTTCCATATGCTCAGGCCCAACTTCCTTTGTCTGGTTCAGGTGACGATTTTTTCCTTTGTTTTCTTAATGACTTGTTTCCTTCTTATCTACCTCCAGGAAGGGATCTTTTAGACAAGATTCCTGGCTTTTTGTCCTCTCTGCTTACTGCTTGCTTCATTTTTCTGTTATGGCAGCTTCAGCCTAGTCTCACACTACCCAAGGCACTTGATTTAGGGTAGTATTCATGCCTTTCATGATACTCCTCCAATACAAAATTCTAATTCTCTCCTGACAAATTGGGAACATTTATTTATTTATCAGATTTATATCCTATCCCAGTCATAAACAGACCTTTAGCAACTCACAATAACAGGGACTGAGGCGTCTATGGCTTATGCACAAGTTGCTTGTGCGTAAGTAAATCATATATGGCCTGCACTATCCTACAAACAAACCCAAAGACTCCAATTAATTCATCCACAGAACTCAGAAAGAGCCTTATTATTGAAAAGAATCTGAAGATAAATAAACCAGACTCTCCATAGCACCATCTCTTTCTTCCCTTTAAAACAGTAGGAATATACAGCTGCTGTGAAAAAGAGATTAGTGAATCAGGAAAGATTTCTAGTAAAAGTGAGGATGAATCTGATCAACACCATCTTCTAATGTCAATTATTCAGACCTACGAAGAAAGATACATTTTTGTTTTGGTGTTTTTTGGTGCCTTCGAGTCAGTGTTGACTCCTGGCGACTGCCTGGACAAATCCTTGCAGAAATCTTAGCAAGATTTCAGAAGTGGTTTGCCCTTGCCTCATTCTTCCTAGGGCTGAGAAAGAGTGACTGGCCCAAGGTCACACAGCTGGCTTTGTGCCTCACAAAGATACAATGTAAAGTGCCAGAATTATGCCATCTTGAATATTTCTTAAGACAGCAATACTGCAGGACTAGTTAAAAAGTTGTAAAAAAAAAAGATAGAAAACAATAGAGAGTTTAAAAACAAGTATGTTAATATAATCAAGAACGTATACACTGATACAATTATTTGATATGAGAAGAGACTAGGATTGGGGAAATAAGATAGTATTATCAGTAGTATTAGCTGTCCCTGACCATGTGTCAAACATGAGATATAAATTATTAAATAAATAATGTGCAAAGGATTCTATGCACATACGGAAAATAAAATTCAATTGTCTTCTTACCTGCATGTGATTAAGATAGATCTGTTCGATGCAGAAATTCATTAGTTATGCAATCAGGTGAATGATGTGGAATGCTAACTCACCTATGTAGCCCTTGATACTGTTTTAACGCGTTTTAACTTACATCCATGTATGGATGTGCAACCACGACTCACCGGATGAAGCTAACATGAACACCCAGCGAGCGGTGGATTCCGGAACAGTCGATACAAAGAAACACCCCATAGGTGATACTGGCCCAGCTCGGGTTCTTTGCTCCGCAATCGAAGCAGGACTACAAGAAACAGAAAAGGTAAGTGCAGAACCAACGGATCGCCCAGGAATGGGGAGACTGGCTCATTGTGCCTTACACCAAATCCATCACCTAGGCAACCACTCGCTCCTCCGATCGGCAGCGGCTACTTTGATGCCGGACCACTACGCGACAACCACTCGACTCAGAGGCTCATTTGCTTCAGACCCGCCACAATCGGGTGTGGAGTCAAGTGGTTACCGGCGAGGGCACTGGGGCGGATCAAGGGTTGGGTCGATTCTGCTCTGAAGCGTCTCGTGACCGAGACAGCAACTGTCGAGCCCTCGGCCCACACACTTCACGGTCAGTACCTTATTGGCTGGGGCAGCTCGTAGCCGCTTGAAAAGGGTCTGAATTTCCGTCCTGCTGGGCCCGGCCGCCATGTTTTCTTTCTCCCAGCACCTACAGCGCTCGGCAACGGGTCACCGCACGGGCCAATCCGCGCGTGTGGGCGGGTTTCTACGGAAGGGTCGCTCTTAGGGTCAGTTCAGAGTGCCGCCGCCATGACACCTGAGGCAAAGTAGTTGGCGAGAGTCAGGATTACGGCCTGCGAAGCTACTGGGAAGCGAAGGACGATGCCCAAAGCCTGTTCTGCCATCAACTGCCCCAACCGGGACACTCGGCAGAACCGTGCAAAAGGGTTATCTTTCCACAGGTCTGAAGAGTTATTACAGCTTTGCCTCCCCGAAAGCCTTGCTACCAGTCGAACGGGGAGGGCGGGGCCTGTGTGATGAGGGCGGGGTCTAACGCGAGATAGGGGCGGGGCTTTGTGACAGGTCCTGTGCAGAAATTGAATTCTTTCCTTTTGTCAGCTTTCCCAAAGACCATGAGCTGAGGAAGAAATGGATGTTGGCTGTGAATCGCGTTGAACCAGGCACCAAGAAATTGTGGATCCCGGGCTCTGGTGCCTGCCTCTGCTCTCAGCACTTCAGGCAAGAGGAGTTTGAGATTTATGGGGGACAGAAGAGACTGAAGGTTGGCGTGATCCCGTCTCTGTTCTCCTTTAAGGTATCATTCATTCATTCATTCATTCATTCATTCATTCATTCATTCATTCAGTTTGTATGGCCGACCATCTCCGCAAGTGACTCTGGGTGGCAAACAATCTTAAAATAAATTAAAAAACAAATTTCCATCATGAGTACAAAAATTAAAATACACAGCAGCCGAGGAGAATGTTACAGTCCATGGTTGCCAATACGACTGGGAGACAGAACCCTTCACAAAGGGAGGAGAGTTCTGCTAAGTCAGGGCTGCCACAAGCAAGTGTGCAAGTTGTGTACTGCACAAAGGCACCATGACACAGGGGGTGCCAAATTAAGTTTTAAAAATCAGTTCTCCATTCTGAATGCCAACCACATGTGCTCACTTATATTAGTTTTCACTTCTCCTGAAACAAGTGCTATATATCAATTCAGAGAAACTGTACATATTGTGGAATCTAAAACTATCAGTGCTGCTAACGTCTTCCAGCGCGTGTATTGTTGTAGTTCCAGGAACTCAGTCTAACAAATACAAGCTGTGCCAAGTTTTCTTCTATGCAGCAACGAAGGTGCCTTACAGGTCAGGGGCAGCCCTGTGCTAAGTGAATATTGCATATCAGTCTCAGTCTATTATTTTCATATGAGATTTCTGAGGAGAAGAGAGCTGCCTTGTTCAAGGTATTCATTGCAGTAGTGCCAGAAGTAATAGAGGCTTAAGTGTTAATCTCCCGCTCAGGGCTACAGAAGATAATAGACTCTTGATCATTTTAGCTTTTGATGATGGAGAGTATTTCTTCAAAATATGAACATGTGAAGCTACCTAAGTGAATCAGTCCACTGGTTCATGGAGCCTTGTTATATTTTCTTGGACTGCAAGTTCCTGTCTGATTTTTTCCTGCACCTCACATCCTTTTAACTGGAGATATCAGGGATGCATCCTGGGAGCTCCTGTGTACAAAACATGCACTTAAGGGCATAAGTAGAGCTTGGTGATCCCCGGAGGAGGCTTTTCACATGCCTTCCTCTCCCAGTGGTGAGAGCCCTTCTCTTGGATGCAACAGTGGAAGGCTGACCAGAGAAAGGGAAGAGGAGGGTCACACAGCTGCTTTTTGCTGCTGCTGTTACAGTGACCCTGCACCTTGCAAGGGTCTCCCTTTACCTCCTCAGTCACCACAAAGTATCCTTTCCCCAGCTCAGGAGAAGAAGATGGCAGGGGTGGTGGTGGTGCTGCTGCTGCTGAAGCAGCAGCTAACTGAGGAACCACAGCAGAGAAGGAAGTAGTGTAGCAGCAGCAGCAGCAACTCTTCCCTCTCTCACTTGCTCCCTCTTCCTTCCATGCTGCTTCTCTGCTATAGCTCCTGTTGGGGCTCCATGCAAAAGTGTGGGTCCCAAGTGATTGTGAGGATCTTAAGGCTGAAGAGGAGAGGGCTTTCCAGGGTGGGTATTTTTTGTGGGAGATTATTCTGTCTTTGCTCCTCAGCCCAATTGCAGGCCCATTAAATATCTCCTGATTGTCCTATGGTGGCTGTCTCCTCTTCCTTCACTATTAGTACACCCTTGACTTTATCCCTATGCAACTGGTTTCATTAGAAAACTAAAGGGAGGGGTTCAGTGTTTGAATATTCTCCCTATTAAGCAACTTTCCACCTGTACAACTGGTAGATTGAACAAAATGATTCTTGTCTTCTCTCTGATCTATTGCTGAATGTCCAGGACAATTGCTTTGTATCCGTGTGTGTGTGTATGTGTAATACAGATAGTCCTCGTTTAGCGACCACAATTGGGATTGGCAGCTTGGTTGTTAAGTGAAGTGGTGGCTAAGTGAAAATTACATGACCACAACTATGCTTACAATTTTACTTCAGATTTCCTTTGGTTTACAGCATCAGAAGGATACCACCCCAAACAGCATGGTGAGCCCAAATGTCAGGGAAGTTTTTCAGAACTCGACTCACGAGGAAGTCGGGTAAAAGGGCAAATCTTATAGCCCTTTTTCCCCTCTCCTCTGCCCTTTGGAATGCTCACCCTGGCTCTGGGATAATTAGCAAGGAGAGAATTAATGTCTGTATTTACATTCATTGGAGAGGAAGGGATTACAAGAGAGTAAGCAAAAGAAAGCCTTTAGGATGAAACTGATTAGGGTCTTGTCAATTTCAGAGAGCAACTGAACTGACCCAGACTTCTAATCCACTAATTAAGGTCACAGAGCTGAGCTTAACTTGCCCTTGGCACTTTTTAGTGATGCCTTGCCCTTTAGAGAAAAACAGTTCAGGAAGACAGGGCTTGTTTAGGCAATCTCTCCGCTCTGCGAGAGGGGAAAAAAGGGGAAAAAAGCAGGATGACCTGATGACTGTTACTCATGCTCTGATCAGTGCTAATTAGACTACTCTAATTCACTGTTTATGGGGCTAGAGATGACTTGAAAGCTACAAGTGATACATCTGTTACCTGGGCGGCCAAATAAGTCTTTTCAGTAGCAGCTTCATCACTTCCCAATGTCCTATGATATTCCAGTGCCTTCTGAATTCTTCATTGGACAAACAGTCCAGTCTCTGTTTGGAAACATATATCCAAATATATGTTTTATATATTTTACACACACATATAATAAATATATACATTTTACATCCAGAATGGTGATATGAAAAACAACAGTGGGATAGACTTTTTATTTAAGTGCCAAGGTTCATAGTGTCAGATTGCTTCATGCCTTTCTGTGCACGGAAGGGCCCAGCCTCTACCTGGCTTTTGGGAGACCACAGCTGAAAGTCTCATCACTGCCTGTCACCATGTAACGCTGCATGTGTGCACATGTGTTTTTGGATGTATCTGATTTTTTAAAAAATATGAGCCCATTATGTCTGATTTTGCCATAAGAGGAATATCACACATACTTGTCCAGAGCATTGACCCTCTCTCCATTCCCTGTAGTCGGTGTCTGAAATCAGCAGTCAGTAACTTGGCCAGACTGCCACTTTCATGGTAAGTCCTGACCTGAACTCTTAGGGAAAGCTTGTGCTCCAGCCAGATAGTCACCCACTGTAAGTCTATGCCTTGTATTAATTCAAGGATACAGTGAATAAGGAGGGGGTTCCCTTGCATAATCCATGGGGAGGCAGACATTGAAGAAGTGTTCCAATACATCTTGGATTTGCAAATAAAATTGTCATGAATATCCCCCGAGTTGACCTCAATCCCTGGCGACTTCATAGAGACATCTGTGCCATTTCCCTGGCAGCAGGGTAGAGTTGGTTCACCATGGCCATCTTCTGGGATGTTTTTCTACTTCCCAATCTAGTCTGTTGTCCTGGAATTTCCTGATGGCCTCTCAGCCAGGTACTAACAAGACCTGACCCCTATTTAGCTTCCAAGCCTAGACAAGGCTAGCCAGGTGCCGCCACCTTCTGAGCTGCTCTATCAAGGGACAACACCCAGGCAGAAACTTTGTTTATAAACAAAGTCAGTCTGTTGCAATAATTGACCCCACCCAGCAGGTGGCAGCTCCTTTAGGTCTCACTAATTCCAAGCAAACAAATTGCCAAGTCAGATCAAAGCTGGGAGTCTTTCATCCTAATATTTATTTCTGATATGAAGGATGAGCACACCCATGTGGGATTTCCACCAATATGAATTATTGTATAAGGTTATTATAAAAATACACGTTCTTTACTGCATGAATTCGTTATGTTGTTCAGGTTTTAAAACCCTACAGCTTAAAGTTCTAACAATAACCAATCATTTCTCTTAATAGCTATGCCAGAAAGTGGCATCTCTTTCTTAGTCTTTTTTCCTGGCCAGATCTGCATGTCAGGTTTTCCTAGTGCCACTTGTTGTCAGCTATATTCAGGATTCAGTTTTTGATCTACTTAGGCTGAGTTCACATATAATTGATAAGCCAGATTGTAGTTTGCTAGTTTTAAGTAAAAAACTTATGGTGTGTGAACCTTAGGTTATAAAACCATGGTTTATGGCTTAACCTTTAAATATGCAACATAACATCAAAAGATGCCATAGCATTGCAACAATCTGAACTGGTGCCCACAGAATCCCAAAATAAAAGATACATTTAATAAAATATGTTTTCTGTATCATAAAATGTATAATAATATTTAATAAAATACAGGTAGTCCTTGTTTACCAATTGCCTCATTTAGTGACTGGTTGAAGTTACAACAGTGTAAAAAGAAAACCAGCTTTGTGACCAATCCTTGTATTTATGACCGTCGCAGTGTCACGTGGTCACATAATCTCCATTCGCATCCTTCCCAACTGGCTTGTGACAAGCAGAGTTAATGGAGAACGCAGAAGTAAAATTGTAAGTTGCAGTCATGTGATGTTTTGCATAATGATTGTGGTGACTTGCTTAATGACCGAATGAGAAGTGATGTCATAAGTCCATGATGGTCATGTGATTTTCCTCTTAGCGACTGCAGTGCTTAGCGACAGAGTTGCCAGTCCCAATTGTGGTCACTCAGCGAGGACTACTTGGAGTTCATTTTAAAATGCTTGAAATCTTACAAGATTGCTAAATCATATAATGTGAATCTAGCCAATTATGGCTTCTTCAGTTAACCATGGTTAAGGAAACTATGTCACTGCAGTAGGTGAACCCAGTTTAAGGATGGCTAGTGAGAACCCCAAACATATTTGAAGAGTTACCAGAAAGCCTGTGTTACATCTTGTCAAATAGGCAAATACTTTTTTTCACAGAGATGAGTTCTGGGTTTTCTTACAAATACAGTACTTTTCTCTGTCACTAGATGGCTTACATTCTTTTGCTTATAGTTTTAGATTCGTGCAGGCACTCTGATCCTAGCTGCCTGATGTTTATTTCCTAGGTGCTATACTTTGCCTCTACTCTCAAAATAATAGAAATGCCAGCCATCAGAAATCATCCTCACTGCTTTTGCTTCATACTACAGCAGTACAAAAAATCCAGTGTGACAAAATATCCTGGATTATAAAGACTGGAAGCAAAACTGGAAACTGGCAGTGATTCACAGTGGGGTGTCAAACTGGATTTGATGACTAGCCTTCCTTTAAAAAAGGACTGGAAAGACAGACTCTTCCCAAATACCCACCTTTGGACTGAGATAACAAATCCATCCCTGCACTAGTGATTTTTAATGCTTTTATGTTAACTAAAAACTCTCACTCCAGAAGACTTGTCCTTTCAACTGGCTCTCAAAGCACCCAAGTACGAAGGCAGGAAACCACCCAGGTCTTTAAGGATACATCCTGGAAGGAAAGAGAAGAAACAAATACTGTATCCGAGGAGAAGTAATTGTATCCAGATGCAGCCCATTGTGCAGATATGCGTAGCCTCAAGCTGCAGAAGAGACTGTTCTGCGATGGTTTTGAAATGGCCTCTCTACATAACGAAACCAGCAGATACAATATGATTTCTGAAGTGTCTAGTATCATTATCTGGTACTGTTTGACTTTTCTAGAGTTTCTGTGTCTGATATCTTGGCTAAATCCAGGAGAGACCCAGGGCACTGCCTGAAGAAGGCAAAGTTCTCCAGGATACCTAACATCTGGTTCATATTAGAGAGCAAACCACAGCATCCTGTGACAAGGCACTACAGGAGTCCAGTCTGTGTAGGGAATGCTAGATTTGCCACCTCAGTCTAAAAGTGAGTGCCTAGAGAAAATCAGCTCTCTTTATCCTTTCTGAAAGTTGAAATAAATTCACTTAATAGATATTCAAGTATTATTCATAGCTAAAAAGACACAAATATGCCATTGCACGGCACAGAGAAGTAAAATAGCTTTCTGGTGGCTTGTCTCTAGCCCTAGTTAGTGATAGATCATGTTCACACAAGATAATCAATATAATGAGGGTAAACCTTCAGTAACAGACATCCACGTGTGCCATTCCAGCAAACTACACTTGGCTGGTATTATGCCAGTAAATGTTATGGGCTGACTAAATGTTACTTCTAGGACTTTTTTTAACTAAAGCAAAAATTGCAGGCATATATTGACCAAATCAGTGTCAGAACCACTGCGTGTGCAGTGGGAGAAGGCTAATTCATGCCATCTCCTTTGCTTAAAAAAGTTCCGTGTGTTTGCAAAGTGGTGGGGAGAATGAAAGTGGAGCAGAGGAGCTGTTCTACCTTGCAGCCATTTTTGCAGGCCACCTACTTTTTCTGGAGGACCAATGGCTGTTTAACTATAACTAAACAGTCCAGACTGAAGCAACACGCAGCCATGGTTGGACCAGGTAGTTCAGGAGTATGCAACTTTCTGATGGCTTGCAGCTAATGCTTATGGGGGAGTCTCAGGTCTGTAGACAGTAGGGCAACGATACAAAATGTTAGGGTAGGATTTTTGTGGGGACATTCTTTGGAGTTCTTCTTTGCTAAATTATATTAAAACTATTATAGATCTTGCATTATGGTTTTTATATATTTCCCACCAATTTTTGGTAGTAGTGGTTAAAGGAGATGTTTGGAAAAGAGAAGTTTAATTTTAATGAAATTAAAACCATGGTTTGTACACCACAGTGACTGGATTGACTAAGGCAAAACCAAATAAATCACACTGTGCTATTGCATAATTAATCCAGTCATATGTCTAAACAGAGAAAGGATTTAGTGCAGGAGTGATAGAACTGGTCATCTTCCTCTAAGTCCTTTGTTGGATCCCTCAAAAAGTTCCTACCATCCCAATCTCAGTTCTAGGTTCTGGCAAAACTGATGAATAGATGTGGCTTCCTCCTGAATTGGTTTTTGATTTATATAGTGTAAGTGTAAGAATTGCCGACATTAGGAATTCTTGTCTTCCTTGCACATGACAGTGCAGGCTTCCTGTTCATGACCCTTCCCTAGTAATCTGTGTTATTGTACAGCAAAGGGCAGCTTACTTTAGTGTTTCTGACAGTTGGATCCTTTCATTTTCCATTACGCCTTGGCAGTCTGGTTTGCCCTAAAAGATTTATGACCTTCACATTGTTTTTTGCTTCCTGACCTTTCTCTCTAAGACAGGTTCCACATCCCCATTGCAGTTATTTGCTTTCTATCTAGGAAATGATGGCCTGCAGTGGTAAAGAAGAAATAAGAAGTAAAAGTTGCAGGTGGTCACTTAACAATCTGCCACTCACAACTTCCAACTTCAGTAACTCTCCTTGCAACCAGTAATGGTTCAAAAGAAAGTTCATTTATAGAACAAGTGTACAGTTCCAAGGCATTGCTGAGACTGAACCCGTGTGCACCAAAAGTTGCTTTTACCTTTTTTTCCCTTACCCCCCTGCACCCCCCTAACTTCCCAGTCTTCTCACACCTGCTTATTGGTACGACCTTGAGCATTCCTCAGTCTTCGATAACAGCCCATCTGCTTCTAACGGTCATTTCTTCCATCCATCTTTCCAGATCCTTCCAGCACCCCCCTCCCCATGTCTCTTAATGGCAGAACTGAAGCAAGCAAGCTGGCAAATAATGTGGTTAATTGATTGTGAGGATTCTGATAGTCATGTTTATCTCTGAAGCCCTGTGAGTGAATAGAAACATTCCCAGGGTGGAATCCACTCCTAAATGATGTAAGAATTGAAACAGAAAAGAGAATTGTGAGGGGAAAGGAATGAATTTGAAGAGTGAAATTAGAAGGGTGTCTTATGTTGTAAATAAGTGCTGGGAAATGTGGAAGGAAAGAGAAGAGGATGACCAGCAGCAAGGTGGATGGATTCAATGGCAGTGGCGATAGGTGCATTGTTGGAAGACCTGAAGGGCCAGGTTGGGGGAGAGATCTTCCTGGAGATGGTCTGTCTACTGTATGTGGTTGCTAAGAGTCAACTTGATGGCACATAAGCAATGAATTGGGACAGACTGCTACAGATTCAATTCTCATTGAGTACTGCACAGGAAAATGGAAACGATCCGTTGTAATCTCATTCACAAACCGTTTACAGATAGTCCTCATTTAGTGACTGCAGTTGGTTCCGATGACTTGGTCATTAAGCAAAATGGTTGCTAAGTGAACATGTGACTGAGAGAGAAAGACTGCTTTGAAGATCACTGGTTGCTGCCATCTCATTTAGATAAAGTTCTCGCATACAGTGCCCTTTGCTTGATCCACTTTCCCCTCTTTTTTTTGCCCCCTTGCAGGACAGGGAGATCGCTTAAACAAGCTATCTGTTCCTGAGGTGCTTTTCTCTGCAGGGCAGTGTGTCCCTAAAAAGTGCTATTAATAATTATCTATTAATAATTACCAAGGATCTCTTTATTAACATTTAAATATATGATAAATACAGTATACTTCACCTTACCAAAATAGCTCATAGTTGAACAATGTGGCAGGACACAGAAATATTTGGAATAAGGAGATCAAGCATACTATGCACCTAATTTAAATGCATGCTGCTGGCATTAGAATAGATTTAAGGAAAAAAAAAATAAGAAAAAAATATCTGTTCTGTGTTATTTTGTGTTCTGTTCTTCAGCTGACATGCTCCCAGAAGAGGGCCCCTGATGAGATAACATGTCAGACTGAGCCATGATTTGCTTTAATGAGCAAATCACAAGATTGGGTTCACCCAACATACAGAGCCATTAACCATATTTGCAAACCATAAAAGCTGGGTTCACATGACACTCAAGTAAACAGAAACCATGTGATGGCTTAGCACAGCAATCACAACCTTTTTGGACTGGGAACTCAGTTCTGATTTGTGAGAACTTAGTATGGGCACTCTCACAGAATGGTTGCCATGATGGGTGTGGCCAATCACAAAACACCCACTTGCCAGAAATCCATCAGAGAACCTCGCTGTACCACCACTTTATTTTCTACGCAAAGATGTTGGAGTCTTTGTGTAGGTCACAGTCTCCTTAGCATTTTTCTTCTCACCCACCCATTTTTGGACTCACCTGAGGATTTCCATGTTCCTAAAAGAAAAAAGATGTACAAATCTAAGAACTCCACTACAAAATCAGTGCAGCCCTGGTTGGTCAGTATCTCCCTCTCTTTGTTCTTGCTTCAGAATAAGTCTTTAAGAAATTCTGTATATGTTACGCTCCTATGACTGTACTATTTTGAAACACAAGGGATGAACTCTGGTTACATGGGAAGACAGCACATCAAGGAGAAAGTGAAGGTATTATTTGTATAAAATTATTTGTGTAAAATACTAGACAACCCAGTAATGTTGTCTAAAAGATGACATAACATGATAATTCAATTGCATAAAACCAACCATTTGTAATATAAAAATATTTAAAGATGCAGAAAACTGTATTGTGGGTGGATATTTGAATATGAGATGCTTCCTTTGTATTTCTGGATATGGTCTTGGGCAGAGTATCACATGCCCTTTTTGTATCTTTGAACGGATTGTGGATTTACTGCTCTATGAGTAATGTGCTACCTTGGAAGAATGGGCAGTATGAAATTAAATGAAAAATACTTAGTACATTTTGGTAATAGCACTGGGTTTTATTACCTGTTCATATTTACATGTATACTATAACATTCTGAACATAAGATTATTCAGAATCTTTTGCCCTGTTTTTTTTTTTCTTTTTAAACAAAATGCTATGCCTCCTTTCCCATTACAGCAACCAACCAGAGGCCAGCATCCATCAAAATCCCTTAAAGCCATGGGCATTGGCAGTCCATCAGCAGGTGGCCATGAAGCAGCCTCACCTGCTGATCTTTCTCCAGCACAGGTCAAAACGGTATGTTCACTGGCAAAGGCTGGTGGTTTTTGCCTGATGCCAAGAACCTCCTCATTCAGTTTCTGTGGTCGGTGAGGATAAGCTTACAGCTGAGGGGCTTGTTCTGCTGTCAGCCTACATTTATGGAATTTTATTTTTATCGTGGTAAAAAGGCATCTTTTATTAGACTTTCTGCCTCTAATGAAGAAAGGGAATTCATTTATTATTTATTAATTAAATTTATATGTAATCCAGGAAGAGTATTCTCTGGCTGTGATCTTCATATAAGGGGCTATAGAAAAGCAAAAGTAAAACAGGAGATTTCACACAAAGCTATAATGTGAGTTTGGGTTCTGTTTACTGTGTTGTGTGAACCCCCAATTACTAAATCCCAGTCAGCCAGTAAGTTTAGTTTTCAGGTAGAAACAAAAATGAGCCCTTTGTGGAATGCGTCCCCCTCCCTTTGGTAAACATCTAGATATGCACATTATCATAAAGGAATTAACAGACAGGACAACTGGATCTCCTCTGTCCCTGTGCAGGTGGAACTCATCCAAACAGAGCATCAATACAGTCTAAGTGAACCTATGGACAGCCAAACAAACTTAGTTTTCCCCCCTGGTCCAGGACAGGGCAGCAAACAAGAGCAGCACCATCTTTCATACTACCAGCAGGAGCTGTGGACTGTGTTAACAAGACTGCGGGAACAGCATCTCCTCCAGGAGGACGCAGAACACATGTTGAAATCCCAGTTCAGGGGTGAGCCAAGGACTGGGGCTGGGAATTACAACCTTTGTCAAAATGCTTTTTCTTCATGGCACAGTGCACTGTAAGAAGAACAGGGTTTTCCAGGATGCCAAGGAAGTGCCATGATGCAAAGAGGGTAAGATCTATCTTCTGCCTTTCTTGTCATCTGCTCTTAGTTTCTTAACGGCCAGTTGTATTCTTCAAGTCAGTGCTAGGCTGCTACTTTTTCCATGACTTAGAATTCCTCCATAAGTACCTTAGCAGCGTTTAGTTCTTCCTTCCAAGGTCTCTTCCAACTCTTACATTCTGTGATCCTTTTGCGCCAATCCTTGTTGAATTTAAGCCCACACTTTGAGACTAGCATGGTGAATGTATTCATAACCTCTGGTCTAAAATGAGCAGAATCAGTGCTGAAGTAGATGCCACAAATCCCTCCATTGGCACATCAGTTTGCTGTCCATCGCTTCTTTTCAGCAGATCTGCAGCTCAGTTTGCAGTGTGAGGAACCCCACAGCGACAACTACCCAGCTGCCTCCCGCAACTTTGCCGTCTCGCTACATTTGTTCTCAGGCAAGGCTTACGAATTCATGAGGAGAACTTTCCAGCTGCCAGAGCCAACAATCTTGCGCACGTGTGTAATTCTTATTTATACTTCTTTTTTTTGCTTTCCCCCAAACAGTGGGGGAAAAGGCTTCAACACCATCAGCATTGTTTAACGTTAGAAAGCAGAGCAGGAGATCTTGAATTTGCTTTGCAAGCTTTCTGTGTCAGAAAGACCACCGTACTGACCACCGTATTCAGACATGATGTCCCATTCAGATCCCAAATAGGAAAACATAACATCTCCCTGCTATAAAGCAGTAGAAGAGGTTAAAGGGTGGAATAGTCTCTTTTGGAGGAGGGAGCCACAGGAACTTGCTGATTTTTGTTCCAAAATCAAGAGGCCATATTTCAAAAGTAATCCTCCTCTCGCAGAGAAAATCCAAAAACCTTTCCTGTGAAAGGCTTGATTGAAAATAAAACTTTGGACAAATGATGCTTTTGAAAGGCAGGAATTGCAATTCTAGAAACAAGTCTATGAATAGGCCTGTTAATAATCATGAGGATATTCTGATTGATATTCCCAGTTTTAGGACAGTAGAAAGGGGCACAACATCTTGAAAGAGACTCCCATGGCACCATGAAGACAACGACATCAACTATTCTTGTTATAAAGAGCTTAGTTTGTCAAATATGATTGCTGAAGGAAGTTCATCTGAAACCATGCTGGGGAAAAATTCATACCTCTCTAAGATGAAACAGTGGGCTTTGATTTTTTATAAAGTATGAGATGGCTTGTCTGCAATGGGTTCTGGGAAGATGGAGTATTGCATAAACTGCCTCTCTGGTCAGTTTACTTGGGGAGGGGATTTCATTGTACAATTAGGATTTTCATCAGTTTAAAGGTGAAATTGGAATAGCTCTGCTAGCAGTTCTGAGAACAAAAGGTGGCAGAAGGTAAATCTTGAGAAAAAGAAAAAGACTGTGCTAGGCATTAAACATTAAACTCTGGAATTTGCATACATCTTTCCAGTTCTATGACATAGTCTTCCCCAAACTGGTATCCTCCAAATATATTGGAACTAGAATTCCCAGGATTGCCAGCAAACATTTCTGGGAGCAGTTCAGGTAAGGGAAAACCAATATAAAATGGTGCATTTTCTTTGGTGAGGCTTACTTATACAGGTAGTCCCATTCGTTCAGTGACTCTTCAAAGTTACGACAGTGCTGAATGAATGGTGGCTATGGTCCTCAGAGTTCTGGCCATCCCAGAACCCCCTCAGTCATGTGATCTCGATCTGGGCACTTGGCAACCAGCTCACACTTATGACCCATTGCAGCACCCTGCGATCACGATTGCCATTTGCAGACTTCTCTGCCAGCTTCCCCAGAAAGTCTATGGGGAAGCCAGCAGGGAAGGTTGCAAGTTGCTGGGTTAAGTCTCCCTCACCTGCACACCTCCCCCAGCCCTTCTGCACTTGTGCTGTGCCAGCTACTTGCACACCCCTGTGTACTCTCCCAGAGCCTCCTTGTGCCTCCCCCACCACTCATGCACCCTCCCAGAGCCTCACCACTCCTCCCTTGCAACCTTGCACACACCCCCACACCCTCCCTGAGCCTCACCATGGCTCCCTTGCACCCTTGCACACCACTGCACATCCTCCCCAAGTTTTGCTGTGCCTTCCTCACACCCGTGTACACCCTCCCCAAATCTTGCTGGGCCTCCCTGCCACTTGTGCACCCTCATCACCCTCCCCAAGCCTTGCCACACCTCCCTCGCACCTTTGCACACCTTCCCTGACCTTTGCTGCACCTCTCGTGCACCCCTGTGCTCCTTTGTGCACCCTCACTGTGCCTCCATCACACCCTCATGCACGCTCTCGCACCTTTCCCCACCTAGCAGCAGCCACTTACTTGCCTGCTAGTCTGCTTGCGAGCCACCTGGGACTTGCACCTCCCTGCTGGCTTCCCTACTGACCTGGCTGTGGGAAGCCAGCAGGAAGTTGCCTCGCCTAACAATTGTGCAATTCAGTTAATGACAGCAACTGGGACTACAGGGATATTCCAGTCCCAGTTGCTGTCGTAAGTCAAGGATTACCTGTAAATCCATAGAAGGTTGCAGGCTGAAACATTAATCTCAATGGTTGGACCCATTCCTGTTCATGCACTGAGTTGGCCCCAGAGAAGACATTGTGGTATAGTAGATGAGTATTGTATCTGAGTTTAGATATTTTGTTGTTTATTTGCAGCAATATTTATTTGAACGTTTTGTACCAATACAACAGGAGCAGAGTGCCTTCCTAAATGTTAAAAGGGCAGGGACCATTCTGACCACTGGGAGCAAACTATTCCAAAGAAAGGGGACTACTTTTAATGCCATCCTCCAGGCACCTGCCCACTGACCTCCTGGGGGGATGGGAACACACAGTGCTCTCTCCCAGCTAACACATATTGGCAGGCAGATTCCACTAGGAGAAGACAGTCCTAAAGGTAACAAGGATCTGAGCCAAAAAGGGCTTTATAGGTAACAGCCAGCACTTTGAATTGGGCCTGGAAGCTTACTTGGCAACCAGTGCAACTCCTGCAGCATAGGTGCTACTCCGCTTAGCTGGTTGTCATCAATCAGTTGATGAACTCCTGAGCTACTCCAGACAGATTGCTCCTAAAGGAGGCCTTGAATTATTCACATCATGAATCTAGGTGGCTTCAATACTAGTTCCGTATCTAGCTCTGGCAGCTTAGACAGGGATTCTGTTAGGCAAGGAAGTAGCTTAGCATGGGACTAGTCACAAGGATGACATAAACAGTCGATAAAAATAATACTGTGTTTGGACTTTACTGTAATAGATAAGCAAAAACAAAAAACAAAAACCCACCAGCTTGGGCTTTAAGCTTTCCAATAGATTTGGCAATGGATTTTTTGCCACAATTAAACATGGCACTCACAGTTTTCTTTTCTATGCTTCCTCAATGTGTAGATGGCTTTCAAACTTGGATTATAAACCAGGATTCAGCCAACAAGCCTTCAATGTTTTGGCAGAGAGATCTCAAGCAGGGAAACAAGCTTTCAAGTGGTGCGCTCTCCTTCTTGGCACAATGCCGTTAGAGAGAAGAATCCACTATGACCCTTCCACCAGGAGTTTGCAAGGCCTGGTGGATTTTGGTGCTGGGAATTATGATGCAGATGAGATACCACCAGCAGCAGAAGCCCTTCTGCTTGTTGCTGTTGGATTTCAAGGTCAATGGATTATACCACTTGGCTACTTCCTCCTTGCCACCCTTAAAGGTGATATACAGGCCCAGCTCCTGCGCCACTGTATCCTCAAACTGTATGACATCAATGTGCAAGTAATCTCTGTGACATCTGATGCCACGGCGCCTAATATAGATACAGCCAGGCAACTGGGAGTGAAGGTGGATGGGTTGACTGTCAAGTCCACTTTTCTTCATCCAGCCACTCCAACAATGGAAATTGCATACTACTTTGACCCCAGCCATTTGGTATCCCTGATTCATAACTTGCTACAAGCGAATGGCAGTCTTCAGGTGAGTGGCAAAGCTGTCAGCTGGGACTATCTTCGGCATCTTGGTGCTCTGCGGGAAAAAGAGGTGCTCCAGGCTGCAGCCCGAGCCAGAGGCAGCAGGCAGGAGCAGCAGGTATGGGGAAATGGCATCACCCAGTTGTTCAGTCAAGGTACAGTTCAAGCCCTGCATTTTGCAGCCAGGCTAGGCCTGCCTCAGTTTCAGGGTCACGAAGCCACCACCCTCTTTATAGAACTGTTGAGTGCCGTTTTTGATGCATGCAGCAGCTGGAATGCCCATGGAAAGGGCTTCAGAGCACCGCTGTCCTGCACCAATGCTGACACCCTTAACAATCTCTGCAATGAATATGAGAATCTGCTTCGCAGACTGCGCACAACTACTGGGGAGCTACTGTGGCTAAGCAGGCATCGCTGGGGATTTCTTGGCTTTCTGTTGAACCTGCGCAGCTTTCAGTGGGTGATGCAAACTTATCTACAGGCAGAAAGCAAACCCATTGCTTATCTGCTCCCTGGTTGGTGGAGTCTGGACCCCTTGGAGTGGTGCAGGGGAGCCATAAGGCAGGCATTTGGCCACGAACAGATTACCACGCCATGGAATTTCCAGGGTGCATACAGGCTTATCTTAAACAGAGCTGTTTCCGGTCTGGGCCTTGACCCACCCAACCTACTAGACATATCTTTATGCAGACGAAGTGGTCTGCAGTTGCAAGCCTCCTGGCCTTTGGGGCAAGGACAAATATGGCAGCTGCACTGGGGTTCAAAGCATTTCCAAAAGATGGACAGTGTAGTGATAGCCCCAGCATTTCGAGCTGAACTTGAGGTGGATACAACTACTTCTATTGCTTGTGTGGTTCTGAGAAAACTGCTGCCAGTCCTGTCCTGTGCTGAGTGCCGTGCTGCACTCTTGAGCCCTTGTAAAGAAGTGCCTGTAGGCAGTGCCCTGATGTGCGTGAAGAGCAAGGGGAGTGAGTATCTCCCGTCAAAGTCTGTACAGAGAGTGATCCACAGAGCAAAGCAAATAATTGGCCTTTCTTCCTGGTTCTTCCAAGGCCCCAGCCCATCTGACTGCTTAGCACAAGAGTTGGCCATATTGGCAGATGTGAGTGAGGAACCTGATCTTTTCTCATCCCTGGACAATCATCTCTTTGAAAGCAATTCCCTGGTTTCCAACCATTATGTCATTCTGCTGCAGCAACTTGTGCAAACCTTCCTAAAGCTGTGGTTTCAGGTAGTACAAGGAGCACAGCCTATGCCTTTGACTCATGAACGTAGCTCTGTAAGGAGAATAATAAACAGAGCACAGAGGTTGCCAACTGCAGCAGCAGGAGTTGGCCCCAGGAACTATTTGGACTCATGAAATGGTACAAGGCACTCTGAAGGAGATGAACTGGAAATAGGAGACATATAATACAGGAAGTTCTGAGGTAGCCTGGTGATTGGAAAAAGAGACATGGTAATCAAAGCTGAAACTAACACATTGAAGAGCCTTTCTAAAACCAGTTCTTCAAACAAAGTGCCATGTTTGTAGAAGGCTTTGAGGAGTGTAATTACAAGGGTCACCGCTTAGTCACCCTCTGGGGGAGGTGGGCAGCATATAAATTTAATAATAAATAAATAAAATAGTGCTATTGTCATTCAGTCAGAGGCTGCTATATGGTCCTTAGACAAGCATTTGCTTCTCCTAGTAGCCTCTCTGTGCCATATTATTTTGTGCTTTTACTGGCTTAGCTTGGAAATGACAGCTTGAGAGTTTGATTTATTTTCACTATAAAATGGCTGATTGTTTAGGAATGAAAGAGCAAATAGCACATCCAGATCACGGGATTCAAAGTGGAGCCTTGCCTGAAGCATTTGATCCGGTCTCCTGATCTGGGATGAACAGGGAAATGACCTTTGGATTTTGTAAGCTGACCTTTGGATTTATGTGTGTTTAATACTTTTTTTTGGAGTCACAATTCCATTGTGTCATGTTTTATTGTAGCACTGCTATTTATCAGCCTGGAATCAATGAACCGGAAGGAAGGATGTTGATGATTGTTCAGAAGTATGGAACAAGCTTCCCCTCAAGTCAGAAATGAAACTTGGTCCTTGTAGCTTGTCCAACAGCTCCAGGGAAAGATGCTATTTGTTGAAGCATGACAGCCTCCCCACTGGCACCAAAAATTCTGGTAAACAACAACAAAAGCATTTTAGGGATAAGGAAATCATTCAGCTCCATCACTACTGTGTCTATGGAGCATAACTGCTGGCAGGAATAGTGGTATTCCTGCTGTAAACATTTAGCTCATAGGAAAGTCCACAATCAGGGAAATTATTTTTAAGGTATCACAGAAGATTGAGCAGACTTTTGAATTATACAAAAATCTTAATGAGGGAGGGAGGGAGGGAGGGAGGGAGAGATGCTGTGTGGATTTAAACTCAGTCCTACAATGGAGTTTGGTGAACCTTTGGGGAGGCTGGCTCCAAAAGAAAAAAAAAGTGGCTTTGCTCTTCCCCTTGCCATTCTTACTAGCAAGGCTTTTCTTCACCCACCCTACCCCAACCTGCAGTAACAAAGCTGAGACAGCAGCCCAAATTAGAGCACAGATCATCTGACATTTGTGTTGATTGTGGAGAAGCAAAGTCCAGCACCAAGTGCAGAGACCTTGAGCCAGGTCAGCAAACAAGACAGGAATGCAAGATTATTTGTTACAACAGCTGTGCTTAGGATTTTGGCAGACTTGCACCTGTGGCAAAATTTCAGTCATGCGATTTAGCATGTGGGCAGTGCAGGCATTGACCACAGCAAGTGGTCTGGACAACTTTGGGCAAGACTGCAATGGCCTTGAGCCAAAGTGGTTTGTTGGCAACTAGTGATCAGTGAAATAGTTCTCTGAGCATGTATGAAGAAGCTGAGTTCCAAACTTCCAATTGTTACACACTCTGGAGTATTGTGCCATAGCTTCTTTGGAGCCAGCGCAACTGAATATTTTCCTCAGTCAGCTATAAAAACTGCCCCAAGATTCACAGGTGCTTTCATCCAGCTGGGGGCAGCCACATGTCCAGCTGGCATAAATCTATCAGCAGAGACCTGTGTTGCTTCTACAGTCTAGCTAATCAAGTAGATTTAATTGAAGGATATCATCCCAGTCCAGCATAGGTCTCATACTACAACTAGACAATGATTAGCATTAGACTGGAGCAAATGTTGAAGTGACAGTCATGGTTAAAGCAGCAGTGAGAGCAGCTGTGCACATCATTATCAGAATCACTTCATGAGATAGCGGGTTGTTTTGGGGTTGTTTTGGTAGTCGGAAAAAGCACTGCATGCCGTCACACTAATGCATTTCTGCTATAAATGCCACTGAATGAAAAGGCTGCCTGCTACATATGCAGACTGCCTCAAAATTTTATGCCAGGTGTTTATTGGATGGGTAAGATGTACTTTTCTTCTAGAGCAAGCTGATACAACAGGGGCCTGTTTTTCCCTTTAGCCATTCCCAAGATAAGGAAACCCTTATTCAGTGTGAAGCTAATTTTCTTTAATAAGCATTTTTGTGTTGCTTATTATCTTTATCTTACATGTATCTATTCAATCTGTAAACTGCTTAGAGTCCAGCTGGATTGGGGCAGTGAATAAATGGAATGAATGAATGAATGAATGAATGAATGAATGAATGAATGAATGAATGAATGAATGAAATAAAGTCAGAATGTCAAACTGGGCACTGAATTGGAATATCAGGAATAAGGCTTTTGCTGAAAAGCTGAGCTCTGCTTTAATATTAGGGGTAACCAGATCTGGAATGCAGATGGCATGAGTGACCTGAGAGTTTTGTGTGTCTCTTTGCTGTCATCTAAGGATCACCTGGATTTTTGCAGCCCTGATATAAACATAATCCAGCCAGAGTTGCTCATTTGGTTTAACTAAAATGTTTCTAAATTGTCAGGTTCAAATATGAATATATTCAAACCATTTGCTGCATTTCATTAGGGATGTAAAGCAATTTATATATTTTAAATTATATGTGAAATCATTAAGGAAAATACTGTATGATTTGATCCAGTGTTTAAATTTAAAATCAGTGCCATTTAAATAATCCAGAAAAAATTGCTTGAAAATGAATTCATTATCTTACAGTATGTGATTATGCTTGAATAACATATCCCTCAACTATGACACTAGGTCATAATTTAACTTCCTAATATTGGGGGTGGGGAGTGATAACTTGCATGGCTTGTGCTAACTCTTGGCAGTGGTGAAGGCATGCACTTAAAATGGCTCCTTGGATCTTCTATGATCTTGATATGGGAGAAGATATTTTAAATTATTCTTCTAAATTTGCATTTAAAGCAATAGCTAGAAGGATGAATATATGGAATTCTCTATTCCCCCCTCCCAAGCCCCAGATGGATATTTTGCTCTTTACAGGATCTTTTTTTTCCAATCCTTTACAGTACACAGGAACTTCAGAAAATGTTATATTTCTTTATTAGAAAAAAAAAAAAGATCACCATATTTCTAGATGTTTAAAATGAAGCACTGGTTACAAGAAAAGAGTGTCCCCAGAAAGGTCCAGATTATTTCATTTGTTTCTTTTGTATGCAAGTTGGAAGCCCATGATTTGGGACCTCAGCAAAAACTCATCACACAATGCAGTTTGTCAGGTGGTTGCAGTGATGGGGAGGGGGGAAGCAATCACGAAATGACCTTTTCTACATAGTTAGCAGGATACAGTCCAACCTGACCGGTCTGAAGCCGGCCTTTGCACCATCCCTGTTCATCCTCTTCACTGATCTTCATAAGCTCTTCTCCTGGGGGAAGACAAAACATAATAATTAAACAAACAGATGCCTCTTTTCAGCTGCTCAGATAGTCACATACATGGGAATAAACAAATACACCCTCAGCTTAATTGCATGCATGCAGGAAGCCCCAAGGAAGGAAGGGGGGGGGGGACGAAGTTAAAATAAATGGTGTAATAGATGATTCTGCAAGAACTATATATCTGATCTGTCAACAGCCTAAAGGAAAAGCAGTGAAAATAAAACAAAAGTAGGTGATCCTGGTCTTTTGAGGCTCTGATCTTGCCAAAAGTCCACATTTCCCCCAAGCGAATTTGCCTCCAAATATGCCAACACATGAACTGATTCTTTCCACATAAACAACTTAGCCATCCCCTCTCCATATTGCTTAGTTCACACTTCTGCCCCTACAGCATGCAATGTGGGATGGCTAGGGTTTTAATGCTCTGGCATTTTTAGTTTTCCTTGCCAGCACAAAAGTAGCTGTCACTTTCTGTATTCCTCCTCCTCCTCCTCCTCCTCCTCCTCCATGGACAGGTTCAGAGGCCTTACCTAATTTTGCTTATTTTCCATCCCCCCCCCCCTGCCGCACAGCCACGTGGCAGGTTAGAATCAGGATGCCTACAATGACTGTCTTTAAAGAAGCCCTGTTTTTGCAGAATTTCTGGGGCTTTGTTTCAGTTTTGGATGTTGGAAGAAATAATGTTGAGATAAGGAGCATGAATGAAATGTGGAGTTGCTGACTGGCTGGACATTAGGTGATTTTTAAACAAGGATGGGTATGTTTGTTGACCAAACTTATCCCCATAAATTAATTGACTGGGTCATTTATTTGAATTTTGGAATTTGCATAATGCACATTGCCCCTCAAGACCAAGTTAAGCATGTACTGTGAGTAGGACCAGTGGGAAAATCTCAGGCCAGAACATTAAACCCTGTTATTTGAAGTCCATTTTACTGAAAACTGATGTATTTCATTTTCAGATAGGAGTCTGGGATCAGTGTTAGGTAGGAGTTTGGGAATAATGTTCCACATACAGTCATAATATAAAAGCCTGCTGGAAAAAATTCATTTTACAGAAGAGTACCTCAAAAAGATATTTAACTCTTAGAATGTCCCTATATAGTACAGATCTGGTTTACTAAAAGCATGCAGATGTCAAAACAAGGTGATTATTGAAATTAAGACAATTTTTAAAGGCTGCAGCCATTGCATTAAAAAGGCACTGTAACTAGTTTCCTTTTGTATTTCTCCTTTTGTATTTAAGGAGAAATGTCAACTTCAAATTAAATTTAATGAAATACATTTGATAATTAGGACTGACCAATAGGTTTTTTTCACTTCATATATCATGCATTTCTATTGAACTAGTACTGGTAGATGATTAATTATGGGTATCATCAGCAGTAGCATTTATATGGGAAAGTATGCCTCTAATGTACCAAAATTTCAAGGAAGAGAAAGATCCCATTTCCATAAGTGAGGAATTTGTGGTTCTCCAGATTTTGTATAGCTCTAGATCCCAGGCAGTATGACCAAAGCTAAGTGATGCTAGGGTTTGGAATTCAATATCTTAGCAGTGGATTGGGGGTGGTGGTGGTGGTGGGGGGAACCAGTTTAAACAATTTAATTTATAGGCCTGACTCCCAAGCGACTGTGGGTGGCTTACAACTTTGTCTCTTTGCTCCAAATCCTTGGAGACACGATATGAATCCAGCAGAGCAAACATAAATTGATGAACTGTTATTTGACCAGCACAGTTCCTTTACTGCATTTAGCAAGTACATTGTGCACTAAGCTCTGAAGGAAGCCAGAACTTTATGAAAATGACTGCCTCCTTTCTATCTTTTCCCATGGTAGAAGAGGGATATAAAACAGGAAAAACAATATTTACAGTTCTCTCTTGATTTGAAGTTATATAGGCAGAATTTGGAATGCAGAAATGGTGGCCCAAAATGGCCTGATTATCTTATACCACAACCTCATGCTACAGGGAATGTGAATCATGTTATTACACATACATCAAACCAAAATAGATTAGTATTACAACAATTAATAATGACAACTGAGCAGTTCACGTACAGGGTTCATGCAATTCCAGTTTTCAGTTTGAAAAAAAATAGTTAATTCTAATATAAAAAAAGGGGAAAAAGCACATTTCTGCAAAATAAAACTTTAAATGAGGTATAAATAAAATATTTTTAAGATCCACATGGCCCCAATGGACATTCTCTTCAGTCTGCCTCATATAATGAGTCTGACACTTATTTCTGAATGGGAACATACCATCAAAACCACAAGAGAACTGATTAAGCATACAGACTTTTGGCTTTAGCCATGTGGCAAGGCTGTAGCCATTAGGAATGGTACTGTTACCTTTCCATTGCATTACTCATAATCACTCAGGAATCCAAAGAAGCAGAAGTGGGATGATTAACTTAGCATATCTCTGGGAACAACAAAGGTGGTCTCTGCTTTTGGTGAGGCACATAGTCCTATAGTGCACAGTGCAGTTAAATGAATGGCTCCTTATTTCCAGGGATTGC